CTCCCTAACTCCCCACCTACATTCACCTTTACTGGCTCCAACCCCGCGTCTTTGACCTGTCTGTCTCCTCTCCACCTATCTTCTCCTTTAACCATCTTCTATCCGCCTCCCCCTCTCTCCCTATTTATTTCAGAATCCCCTTCCCCTCCCCCATTTCTGAAGAAGGGTCTCGACCCGAAACGTCAGCTTTCCAGCTGCTCTGCTGCTGCATGGCCTGCTGTATTCATCTACATTATATAGTTATTTAAAACATCAGGACCAGGAATTGTTAGCCTTTGAATGTGGAAGAAAGATATTTTTTCTTTGGGAACAGGTTTCAAACATCAATGTTACTGAAAAAGTACCAAGTGAGCATATTCCAGTGAAGTGATTGTACAAAGAGCTTTAACCAGTTACACAGCCTGAAAGAAACATTGCATCATTCAACACAGGGAAAAGCCTGTATTTGGATGAGGATCCAATTGACCATCCAACCTGGAATGTCACAATGGCACCCACATCACGGAGAAACTGTGGATACGTGGGAACTGTGGGAAGAGATTTAGTTGTCCATCTCACCTAGAAACTCATCAACGTACTCAGACTGGGGAGAGACCCATTCATTTGTTCTGTATGTGGGAAGGGATTCAGTCAGCGATCTAGCCTAGTGTCACACCAGCGAATTCACACTGATAAGAAACTTTTTAAATGTTCTGTATATGGGAGAAGCTTTAAGAGCTCTGGGTGTTTAATTCAACATCAGTGACTTCACATGGAAGAGAAGTCATTCATCTGCGTCAAATGTGGCAAGAGGTTCAGGTCTTCATCTCAACTCTCAAAGTATCTACCAAAGGAGAAAGACAATTCACCTGCTCTCAGTGTGGAAAGAAGTTCAGATGTTCATCTCGCCTGACTGAACATATACGTGTTCACACTGGGGAGAGACCGTTCTTCTGCTCAGAGTGTGGGAAGGGGTTTACCACTGACGGAGCACAAGCAGGTTCACAGTGGGGAGAAGCCATTTGTCTGCTTCATGTGTGGGAAGGGATTCACCACATCATCCCAACATCTTACACACCAGGCTGTTCACAGTGGGCAGAGATCATTCTCCTGCTACTTGTGTGGGAAGGGATTCAGTTATTTATCCACTTTACAAAGACATCAGCACATTCACACCAGATAGAAACCATTCACCTGCTCCCAGTGTGGAAAGAGATTCACTCAGTCATCCTACCTGCTGAGATACCAACAAGTTCACAAGAGACTCCAGGGGTTAGGTTCTCCTGCTCTTCCTGCTTTTTGTTCTGTCCTAGATGTGACTATGCTCATTTTTGCAGAATTCTGACATTCTGCGCTTTCGAGTTTATTGTCTAATCAATCATCTTTGTCTGTAACATCATGTGCCAACTATTTGATTTCTCCAGAATAATAGGAGAACAATTGTCCTCCTCTTATTGACTACTCCGTTTTTGGGATGGAAAGCTGACAATTACCCTGAATGTTGCTGCCTACGATCTTGGATTTAGATAGAGATGAATGCACTGCTTGTGATTTCCCAAATTTCCTTAAATCCTGGAAAAGAAACAATGGATTTATTTTATTATTCTTGCATGAGATGAGGATATTTCTGGTGAGGCCAGTATTTGTTACCCATCCTGAATAGCCATTGACACTGTCAACTTTTTTTTTTGTTCATTCATGGTGATGGCCACCATACTCAGCTCCGTCCCCTGACTCTCTCAAAGTTTTGGGATATTATTTGTCTTCCAGTGTGAAGACTGACGCAAAGTAATTATTCAGTTCCACAGCCATTTCCTTGTTCCACACTACTACTCTCCACCGTCATTTTCCAGCGGTCCAATGTCCAGTTTTGCCTCTCTTTTGCCCTTTATATATCTAAAGAAACTCTTACAGTCCTCCTTTATATTACTGGCTAGCTTACCCATATATTTAATCTTCTTCCTTGTTTTTTTTTTGTTGCCCTCTGTTGATCTTTGTAAGCTTCCCAATCCTGTGGTTTCCCACTGCCCTTCACCACATTTATATGCTTTCTCTTTTGCTTTTATACTATCCCTGACTTCCCTAGTCAGCCATGGTTGCCTCATCGTCCCTGTACCATGCTTCTTTTTCCTAGGGATGAATTTTTGTTGTGTCTCCTGAATTACTCCTACAAACTCCTGCCATTGCTGTTCCACTGTCTTTCTTGCTAGGCTCCTCTCCCAGTCAATTCTGCCCAGCTCCTTCCTCATGCCTCAGTAGTTGCTTTTGTTCAGCTATAATACCATTACCTCTGATTCTATCTTCTCCCTTTCAAATTGCAGAGTAAATTCAATCATATTATGATCACTGCCTCCTAAGGGTTCCTTCATCTTAAGCTCCTTTATCAAGTCTGCCTCATTGCACAACACTAAATCCAGTATTGCCTGTTCCCTAGTGGGCTCCACCACAAGCTGCTCCAAAAAGCCATCTCATAGACATTCCACAAATTCCTTTTCTTGCAATCCACTACCAACCAGATTTTCCCAGTCCACCTTCATATTGAAATCCCCCATGATCACTGTAACTTTGCCTTTCTTACACATCTTTTCCATGTCCTGGTGCATCTTGCGCCCCAGCTCCTGACTACTGTTTGGAGGCCTGTACATAATTCCAGCTACGGTTTTTCTTTTACCTCTGCGGTTCCTCAATTCTACTCACACAGATTCTACACCATCTGACCCTACTTTGTTTCTTACTATTGATTTAATTTCATCTCTTACAAATACGGCAACCACATCCCCTCTGTTCACCTGCCTACCTTTTGAGTAAGATGTATATGCTTGGATAATCAACTTCTAATCCTGATCCCCTTGCAGCCATGTCTCCGTGATGCCCACCACGTCACATCTGTCAAGTTTGATCTGAATCTTCCCATGTTCCTGAGTGGGATATGCGACTGAAACACTTTCATTATGTTTCCCCCTATTTTCGTAATTAAGATTGAAATGTTTGCTCCAGTCCCACAGCCATAAGAAAGGACCAGTTTTCTCCGGGAATTTGACACAAATCAGGTTTCCAAACAAGGGAAAATGTCAGCCAATGAGGGAGAGCCAGACCCAGCCCCGCTTCAGTTCACTCCTATTGGTTGGAGGACCAGTAGCCCCGGGTCATTCAGACCGCCCCCTTTTCTTATTGGTCGGTAGTCACCATCAATCAGCTGGGAGTTGGAGAATGCGCAGTGCTGGGCTGAAGCGCCTGTCGTGACACAGCGGCTGAGATTCTAACAGGTGAGTGTGCATGGGATAGATCTGGCGGGTTAGTTAACGTAGAAAAGCTTCCTAAACAATATGAGATCTCTAACTGAATTATAAATAGCTCTTGTTACTTTTTTTGCACCGGTGGGGCCTCAGACAGCGCGGAGTTCTTCCGGTGTAAGGCGTGGGCGAAGGGCCGCATTCCTCATCAAAGCGTTGCGCATGTGCAGTAGCTGTCTTTTGGGGCAAGATGTCACTGCGCGTGCGCAGTTGCCATCTATAGGGAGCAACTTGCCCAGAACGTGCCCATTATCACTTTTTTTGGGATGGGTTGAATGCGTGCGCCACGTCCTGAAGTCGGATCCAGTGGGGATATCCCCGGGAGCAACGGTCCCATTTGTTCTTCGTTTCTTATTTAATACCGGCGGCATGGTGGCTCAGTGCTTTGTGCTGCTGCCTCACAGCACTAAGGACCCGGGTTCGATTGCACATTTGTACAACTTTGCACATTCTCCCCGTGTCTGCGAGGGTTTCTTCCCTCAGTCTAAAAATGTACAGCCTAGTTAGATTGGCCATGGGACATGCTGGGTAATAGGGAAAAAGCAGGCGGGTGGGTCTGGGTGGGATGCTTTTCGGGGTATTGGTGTAGACTCGATGGGTTGAATGGCCTGCTTCCACACTGTAGGGATTCTATGTATGTTCTATGTAACACAATTCCAGTGTCTCTAGCTGGCTGATTATTCATTACTCATCCCTAATCGCTCGTCAGCAGGTGGTGGTGAACTGCTGCAGACGTCAGGGTGCAGTTCCATCCAAAATGCTGTTAGGAAGGAATTTCCAGGATTTTGATCCAATGATTCTGAAGGAGTGGCAGTTTATTTTCAACCCAGGATAGTGAGTGGCTTGGAGGGGAGCTTGCAGGTTGTGGTGTTCCCATCTTCCTGCTAGCCTGCTCCAAGGTATCGCTCAGGGGTTTAGAAGGTTCTGTCTAAGGAGACTGGGAGAGTTGCTGCAGTGCATCCTTAGATGATACACGCTGTGCATTGATGTGGAGAGTGTTTTGCTGGATGTCAAGCTTTGAGTGGTGTTGGAGGTGCACTCATCCAGACATGTTTAAAATACGTTTGGAAGAAGTTCAGAGAGGATAATACCTGGCATGTTTTATGAAGTAAGGCTAGATTGGCTAGGCCTGTATCATTTCCAGTTTAGGACAGCCAGTGGTGGTGTAATTGAAACATATAAGATCCTGACGGGACTTGATTGGGTGGATGGTGAAAGGATGTTCTGTTGTGTATGAGAATCTAGAACTGTGGATCATTAGTTTTTAAAAAGGTGAGGAAATTTGTTTTTCTCAGAGTTGAGAGTCTTTGGAAGTCCTTTCCTCAAAAGGCAGTGGATATAGATTCTTAAAATATTTTTTAAGGCAGAGGTAGATAGATCTTAGATTACCAAGAGGGATATGCAGGAAGGTAGAAATGAGGTTAAAATGAGATCAGCCATGATCATATTCAATGGCAGAGTAGGCTTTAAGGGCCAAGAGGCCTACTCCTATTCCTCGTTTGTATGTTTTGTTATATTCCATCACACCCTTGATTTGTCTTGTGATTGATAGACAGGTAAAGGGAAGTTAGGAAGTGAGTGACTTCATTCCCAGCCTCATGTAGCCAAACTATTTGTACAGTATAGGTAACATGCATTTCAGTTTCTGGTCAACCATAACCCCAAGTATGGTGATTGTGGGAGATTCAGTGGCCCCATTGATTGTTAGCTGTGGACAATTAGACCCTCTGTTATCAACACTTTTTTTTGCACAATTATCATTTGCCACTTATCAGCATAACTGGATGTTGTCCAGGTCTTATCAAACAGGCACAGGCAGGTTCAGTACCTAAAGGAGTCATGAATGGTGCAACCATTAGTAAACAGCCACTGTTTTGGAAAGAAGTTCATGAAGATGGTTGGGCCCTAGGTCACTATCCTGAGGTACTGGGGCTTCTGTCGTGCAGGGGTAGTGTCCCTACACCTCTGCCAGAAAAGCAGGGTTCAAGTCCCACCTGCTCCAGAGGTGTGTTAAAACATATCTGAACAAGTTGATTAGAAGGTAGGTGAGGTACTGGGCTCTTATGGCACCATGATAGTATCCCTCCCTCTGAGCCAGAAGGCCTGGGTTAAAGTTGTGCTGGCTCCAGATGCATGCCATAACATGTTCGCTGAGCACGACAAGTCAACAACCTCATCCACAACGTGAGTTACAGATCTTTGCCAAAACTTTAAATAACATGTCTAATCAGTTGATTGGAAATATCTGCTGAGGTACTCCATGCAGCGATGACTGAAATGATTAACCTTCAACAAGCACAACCATCTTTCTTTGTGCTAGTTATTACTGCAACCAAGGGAGAATATTCCCCTCAATTCCCATTGACTCCAGCTTTTGCTCAAGTTCCTCAGATGCTGTTTTGATGTTGAGTACAGTCACACTCACCTCGTTGAGCTGGTTTTTGCTGAGCAGATGCTTAATAGCACTGTCTACATCCCCATCTATCACTTTTCTGATGTTTGAATGTACCAATGGGGTGGGTAGTTGGCCGGGTTGTATTTGGCTTGGTTTTTGAAGACAGGACATACCTGGGTGACTTTTGTAAACTCATTTTCAGGGTATTCCAAGTCGAGCATTTTGTTGAGTTTTTATGACAATCCAGCAGCTTTCATGGTCACGTTTTTTAAAATTGTGCCTGCTTCAGACACTACCCGATTCATTCAGCTCCATTTCACGTCCTGCCTTTGTGGTTTTGTGGGAGCTCTCACACTCCTTTTTTTTTCTTGTTTTTAAATCAATTTTACAGATTATTAGAAGGGGAGGGTTTCCAGGCAGGAAACTGCAACCAAACATCCCATCAGTATCTGACAGTCACCCATTTATCACAACTTGAATCTCGTAGGATTTTGAAGATGGATGGAAAAAGCACCATTCACAATGAGGAAAAACCATACACATGTTCTCTATGTGGACGAGGCTTCTGCCGATTATCTGGCCTGTCAGAACATGGATGCAGTCACAAGGGGAAGAAAGCTTTGAAATGTACAAACTCTCGCAAGGGATTTAATTCGCAATTAATGCTGGCAAACCGTCGGTGCATTCAAACTGGTGAGCGGCCTTTCACCTGCTCCAAGTGTGGGAAGGGATTCACTTGTTCATCCACCCTGCTGAATCACCGGCGTGTTCACACTGATGACAGACCTTTTGCATGTCTGGTGTGTGGGAAGTGCTATAAAAGTTCACGGGAACTGATTGCCCATCAACGTGTTCACACTGGAGAGAGACCATTCAGGTGCCCTCACTGTGGAACTGGGTTCAGAAGATCATCTGACCTCACTGTGCACCAGCGTGTTCACACAGGGGAAAAGCCATTCGCCTGCTCCAGTTGTGGGAAGGGATTTAGCACACCATCCCACCTGCGAAGGCACCAGCGGGTTCATAATGGAGAAAGACCATTCATCTGCTCTGAATGTGGGAAGGGATTTATTTGTCCATCCACCCTGCTGAACCACCGCCGTGTTCATACTGATGAGAGACCCTTTAAATGTCAAGACTGTGGAAAGTGCTATAAAAGTTCTGGAGACTTAATTGCCCACCAGCGTATCCACACTGATGAGAGACCGTTCCGGTGCTCTCGGTGTGGGAATGGGTTCAGGAAATCTTCTCAACTGACTGTACACCAGCGAACTCACACTGGGGAGAGACCATTCACCTGCACCGTGTGTGGGAAGGCATTCACTCGGTCATTCCACCTACTGACACACAAACGGGTTCACACTGGGGAGAGGCCATTCTCCTGTCTTGAGTGTGGAAAGGGATTCACTCAGTCATCCCACCTGCTGACACACCAGCGAGTTCACACTGGGGAGAAACCATTCACTTGCCTTGAGTGTGGGAGAGGATTCAGTCAGTCAGCCAGCCTGCTGAAACACCAGTACATTCATAAGTAACTACAACAATTGGGTTTTGTTATTGATCGCATGTTCATTGAAGTCTGTTTTTGCCAATTTTCATAAATATCACCCCAGTTATTGGTGTTAATATTCTGCAAAGCAATCAGATAAACCAGCTTTGTCTTTTAAGGCAATGTCTTGATGCTTTTTAATATCTTCAATACAAGTTAATTCCTTTGAGTTTGCCCTCTCCCTGTTTCCTCCATCCTCACCTCAACAAGTACGAAGAGCTCAGGGATGTTTTTGTCACTAAGATCAAGAAAATCTGATCAACAGCTTCTGTTGCTTCCGTTTCTTTCACAAGGCACTGAGCCAAACTGCTTCTGAAATTCCACACTTATTCAAGCCTTGAACCCACATCTTTCTTTGGTTTCTCTGTTATATTACTTCATACCCTCTCAGAGCTCACCTTGTTCATGAGACCCACCTTCTACTCCCGTGATCGGCCAATCTCTGAACTTCTCCACAGATCATAGAGCTGTACAGCATGGAAACAGCCTTTGGTCCAGCTCGTCTATGCAAACCAGATGTCCTTAACTAATCTAGGCCCATTTGGCACATATCCCTCTAAACCCTTCCTATTCATGTACCCATCCAGATGCCTTTTAAATGTTGTTGTACCAGCCTCCTTCACTTCGTCTGGCACTCATTCCATACACGCACCACCCTCTGTATGAAAAAGTTGCCCTTTAGGTCCCTTTTAAATCTTTCCCTTCTCGCCCTAAACCTATGCTCCCTAGTTTTGGACACCCCTACCCTGGGGAAAAGGCTTTGGCAGTTCACCCTATCCCTACCTCTCATGACCTTATAAACTTCTATAAGGTCACCCCTCAGGCTCCAATGCTCCAGGGAAATAGCCCTAGCATCTTCCCTATAGCTCAAAACCTCCAATAATGGTAATTTTTGGACAGAAGGAGAGAATAAAGAAACTTTTGACTCTAGTGTAGTTGCAAACTACCCCACCTCTAAACTCGCTTGCCTCTCCACATCCTTGTAATTAGGCTCGTAAAGACAGGGGAACCCTCTAGGCAGTTAAAAACTATTTAGATTAATTCTTGAAATTTCAGCATACAAGGCTAAAAGCCAAGTGAAATGGGATTAGAATTGATAGGTGCAGACACTATATCATCAAACATCTATGTGCTGAAGGGCCTCTCTTTGTGGTGTAGACACTCCCTGACTTTGTCACTCTACGCCTTCAGAATTTAGCAAAGAAGGACCAAGGGATTGATTAAGAAGGGGAAAATAGAGTACGAAAGTAAGCTTGCAGGGAACATAAAGACTAATGCTGAGAGTTTCTATAGGAAGAGGAGAGAAGGAGATTGGTAAAGACAAATGTAGGTACCCTACAGATAAATGGGGGAATGTATAATAGGGGACCAAGAAATGGCTGAAGAACTGATTACGTACTTTGGTTCTGTCGTCACAAAAGAGGACGCAAATCATATACCAGAATTGTTGGAGGATGCAAGATTTAGTGAGAATGAAGAGCTGGGAATATCAATATTCGTACAGAAATGGTGCTGGGGAAATTGTTGGGATTGAAGGCTGATATCAGGCCCTGGGAATTTAATCTACATCCCAGAGTATTTATGGAAGTAGCTGTATAAATAGTAGATGCATTGGTGGTTATCTTCCAGGATTTTATAGATTCTGGAACAGTCCCTGCAGATTGGAGGGTGGCTAATGTCACTGCAGTATTCAAAAAGGGGTGCAGACAGAAACCGGAATTATAGACCAGTAAGCCTAACGCTGGTAGTGGGGAAAGTTCTCAAATCAATTGTCAAGGATTTTATAGCAGAGCATTTAGAAAGCAGTGGCAGGATCAGACAGTATCAGCATGGATTTATGAAGGGGAAAATCATGCTTGACAAATCTGTTGGAATTCTATGAAGAAGTAACTGGTAGAGTTGCCAGTCGATGTAGTATATTTGGACTTTCCGAAAGCGTTGACAAAGTTCCACAAGAGATTAAAGAGCATGGGATTGGGGGAAGTGTATTGAGATGGGTAGGAAACTGGTTGGCAGAGAGGAAACAAAAAGAATAGGAATTAATGGGCCTTTCAAATAGGCTGGCAGTAACTAGTGGGGTGCCACAGGGATTGGTGCTGGGACCCCAGCTATTCACAATTATATATAAATGATTTGGATGAGGGAGCAAAATGTAAACTCTCCAAGTTTGCAGATGATAGCAAGTTGGGTGAGAGGGTGAACTGTGACGAGGATGCAGAGATCATTCCGCATGATCAATGGGCAAATCAATGGCAGATGCAGTATAACTTGAATAAATGTGAGGTTATTCACTTTAGAAGCATTGCTGGAAGCTGGGAGAGGGGAGTGTGCGGCGGGACCTGGGTGTCCTTGTGCACCACTCGCTGAAGGTAAGCATGCAGCTGCAGCAGGTGGTTTTAAAAAAAAGCAAATGGTATGTTGGCCTTCATTGCGAGAAGTTTCGAGCACTGGAGCAGGGATGTGTTGTTGCAGTTGTACAGGGCCTTAGTGAGACCACACTGGAATATTGTGTGCACTTTTGGTCTCCTTTTCTGAGGATGGATGCTCTTCCCCTCCAAGGAGTGCAGCGAAGGTTTGCCAGGCTGATTCCGGGGATGGTGGATCTGACCTATGAGGAGAAACTGACTAGATTGGGATTGTTTTTGCTAGAGTTCAGATGAATGACGGTGGGGGGGGGGGAAGAGTCTCATACAGACTTATAAAATTCTAACAGAACTAGACAGAGTGGATGCAGGGAGGATGTTCCTGTTGGTGGATGTGTCCAGAACCAGGGGTCAGTGTATGAGGATTTGGGATAGACAATTTAAAATGGAGATGAGGAGACATTTCTTCACCCAAAGAGTGGTGAGCCTGTGGAATTCATTACCACAGGAAGTAGTTGATGCCAAAATATTGAATATATTCAAGAGGGGACTAGATATAGCACTTGGAGCAAATGGGATCAAAGGTTACGGGGAGTATGCAGGAGTAGGCTATTGATTTGAACGATTAACCATGATCATGAAGAATGGCAGAGCAGACTCGAAGGGGCAAATGGTCTTCTCCTGCTCCCATCTTCTATGTTTCTAATCAATCTAGAGGAACACAACACACTGGGTGGCATGGTGGCTCAGTGTCTGGCACTGCTACCTCACAGTCAGGGATCTGGATTCAATTCCACCCTGGGTGACTGTCTGTGTGGAGCTTGCACATTCTCCCCATGTCTGCGTGGGTTTCCTCCGGGTGCTCCCACAGTACGAAGATATGCAGAATTTGGTGGACTGGCCATGTTAAATTGCCCACAGTGTCCAGGAATGTGTATGTCAGTTGGATAACCTATGGGGAATGCAGGGCTAAAGGGATAGGTTAGGCGCGTGGGTCTCTGAATGGGATGGTCTTTGGGGAAGTGTGGACTCGATGGGACAAATGGCCTGCTTGCACATTGTAGGAGTTCTATAAATCTATGACATTGTGTGCAGGAACCCTAGAAATCTGGAGATTTTGACAAGGGATTTGATTTTCTGTCCCAGCTGGAATTTCATCAGTGCAGTCACGAAGCAGAGAGACTGTTCACCACCTGTGTATGTGTGGGGATGGATTCTGTCACCAGTGGGCTCACCATATGGGATGACCTCTCATTTTGTTTTGTCATTTCATAGAGGCTTCAAAACAACATCTAGTTTGTTAATATACCAGAGAGTCTGTACTGAGGAGAAACCATTCACCTAGTCCACGTGCAGGAAGGGATTAATTCAGTCACCACATTTTACTAAAGATCAGCTTGTTCATAATGATGAGAGACCTTTTACATATTCTGACAGTAAGAAAAGCTTTAACATCAGAATGAATTGCCTGAAACCCATAGTGAGCTCCCACTCGGAAGGGGTTATTCACTTGCTCAGTGTTTGGGAAGGAACTTTAGTCTTTTAAACATTCAACATATCAGTGAGTTTAAACTACATTTTGGGGAGGTGGTGGCCTAGTAATAATTTCACCCTATTAGCAATCCAGAATCCCAGACCAGTGCTCTTGGAAACTGGGTTTGAATCCCACCGTGGAAGATGGTGAAATGTGAATTCAGTAAAACATTCAGAATTAAGAATGACCTAATGGTGACCACGTAACCCTTGCCAATTGTTGTAAAAACCTATCTGGCTCACTTGTGGCTTTTAGGGAAGGGAATCTATCATTCTTGTCTAGTCTACACGTGACTCCAGATCCACTGCAATATGGGTGACTCTTAAATGCCCTCTGGGCAATTAAGGATGGGCAATAAATAAGCTAGCAACACCCACATTCCGTGAACAAATGACACCAAAGTATGTTCCGTGTCTCTGAATCTATATACAAAAAGATTCAATCAACTCTGCTACTCCAAAAACCTGAAATACAAAGTGGAAAGATGCTGTACCCACGCTTCCCGTGTGGAAACATTTCTGATAAAAGCACAGGGTTTATCATTTACCATCGTTGCAGGTTGTTGCCTCTTAAAGGTTAAAAATACGTTCTGTTTTTACAGAAATATCTGTATGGAGATCTCTTTAAACAAGCTCAAACTAGACAACAGTGAGGTATTGGTGAAATGTCTTTAATTTTTCTTACACAACCCACCACACACAGAGTTCAAAAGACTACTGGAGACTCAAGAACTCACCTGAAAAAGTAGTGAATGCATCATCCTAATCCAGTTGGACCAGGTCAAACTGCCAGAGCTTTTGTGTATTGATCCTTTTTGACTTTTGGTCCTGTTAAATTGCTGACATCAACACATTCTGGTTATTTATCAAAATGGAACACACTCACCCTTTAATAAATCTTGTAAATTATGTATTAGTGAGTCTGTACCACAGTCATTTTCTCATGGTTTGTAGATTAAATCTCTCATGAAAAGATGAGATAGTAATAACATCTTTATATTTAGTCCTTCACTTGACCTTCTGGCTTTGAGCCAAAAATATACATTGTCTGCTCTTTCAGTTCATTAATCTATACATGTGTGTTCACAGGTTCTAATTCTGACCTCCTAGACCTGTCTGCCACAGATTGTTCATTGTTCATTGTCATGGGTGTAAGTGTCTATACTATAGATAAATACGTAATAAAGTTATGAGGATTATTTGGGAGTTTCCTGCCTGGCTTCTTTGTCTACGATCGTCCCCTTGAGATTCATGAAGATGTTTACTATTGGTGATACAACTGAATCTCTTCCTAAAGCATACCATCAGTTTATGGGAAATAGCTCCAGCTGTAACATCAAGCGAAAAGTAGAGGCTGTGATTATCCAGGGGTGTCTTCCTGTATTTTACTCTATTTCCCACAGGGGCTGATCACCCAGGTGGCAATGAACCATTCAATGTTAAAGTTTTGTATTGCCTTTGTGGCCACATTGTAGATTTGAATTTCAAAGAAAGAAGATCGGTTTGAAATTATTTAAATTGGTCCCTGGGGAGGCGATGGCCTAGTAGTAATATTACTGGACTGTTAATCCAGATAACCAGATAATATTCTGGGGACTGGGTTCGAATCGTGCCACAGCTCATGGTGGAATTTGAATTAAATAAATATCTGGAATTAACAATCTAATGATGACCGTGAATCCATTGTCAATTGTCAGAAAAACCCACCTGGTTCACTAACATCCTAAACTGCCATCCTTACCCAGTCTGGCCTACATGTGACTCCAGATCCGCAGCAATGGGTCTCAACTTTTAACTGCCCTCTGGGCAATTAGGGATGGGCAATAAATGCTGCCCAGCCAGCGATGCCCTCGTCCCATGAATGAATTTAAAAAAAACATTTCTGGAAAGCTGTGGCCTATGTAGACTCTGATTAATTTTAGTCAGGTTGCCCATCAACGTGCCAGGAAACACCTTTGTATGAGTGTGGCTATGTGTGTCTGTTTTGTGATTGGTTTCTGCTGGTGGAGGGGAATAGCTCTGTGTGTGAGGGTAAGGGCAGGGTAGTGGCTGTCTGTGTCCTTCCACCTGTGTGTAAGTGAGAATGAGACCAAAATGTGCTAGACAACAAGGTGCAGGGCTGGATGAACACAGCAGGCCAAGCAGCATCATAGGAGCAGAGAGGCTGACGTTTCGGGCCTAGACCCTTCATCAGGATTCTCCAGCATCTGCAGTTCCTACTACCACCAAAATGTGCTATGTGGATATGGCTTCTCCTTACCTGTAAAAGCATGTTTCACTCTCTCAGTCAATAATAACAATGTTGATGCTATGAGAACCCAGTGTACTGATTCGTATGATACTATAGGGAGATTTTTCACTGAGGAATGAAGCCAGGGGCTGATCGGTGCCGTGTAAAAACTGACATGTATCCAGCCAGACCGCACTTCTCCTAAAACAATATAAAGGGTCGTTAGCAATTCCTTTGTCTGTCCAACTGTCTTTCTCTCTCTCTTTGGGCTTTATCCTATCGTTTACTCCGTACCCTATCGTTTACTCCGTACCCCACCCACCTCCCTATTATCTGCATATAAACTGACGTTTTCCCAGCCACCATCAGTTCTGAGGAAGGGTCACCGGACCCGAAGCGTTAACTCTGTATTCTCCTTCACAGATGCTGCGAGGCCTGCTGAGCTTTTCCAGCAACTTTGTT